TAAGAAAAGATGTTCTTCAACTTGTAATGTCATCACTAGCACCACGAAATGCTGGTGAAATAGTCACTGCTCTTAGAAAAGAAATAGGAAAAGATGATAATGAATTTGTTGTTGAAGTATTAATTGCACTTCGTAAATGTAAGGAAATTAATGAAGGAGTTGAAATTGATGATGTTATGTTTGAAGCATTAACTACACCAGAATTAGCTAAAGAAGCTATTGAATATATTGAATATCGTCTTCAAGGAGAACAAAGAGAAAATACAGTTGAAAGACTTATCGATTTCATTGAAGAGGTTAGTGATAATAAAACATTAAGAAATGTTATTTGGATGATATGTGAGTATTGTAATCATTATGATGAAGTTATCAATATGTTCAAGAGATTGATTGTTGAATTACCAAACAAAGAAGAAACATTTATAGAAAAAGATATTGAAGAGAAAGAAATAGAAGAAGAAAAGAAAGATAATGGAATTATTGAAAGTAAGACTGTTGTATTACCTGATGGTACATATGGAAGTGTTATAGAAACATATGACAAACAAACTGAAAAGAATAAACTCTTCCAAAAAGTTGGATTAAGAACAATGATTGAACAAATGGATTCATTAGTTATTTCCAGTTTGGCTATTGGTATTGCTAAGATTTGTAGTAAAGTTATAGGCAAAGAGGGAAATTGTATTAGAGCAAAAGGAATTCAAATATTACTTGAGATCATTAAAATAGAAAAAAAGAATGAAATTCACAATAAAATGAATCAAGATTGTAAAGAAATTATTCAAAATGTTATTTTCATTATTAGTGGAAAGAAAACAGAATATGATAAACAAATGAAACAAATCGAAGAAATGGAAAAAGGTATTCGAAAAGAAATTGAAGAAGGGGCTAAAAGAAAAGAACACAAAGACATTCATCAATTTGATGAAAAAATTCATTATGAAATTTTCAATACTACTGATGAAGAAGAAAATGAAGAAAAAGAAAGTAGAATTGAACAAATTAAAGGAGAAAGAAAATTAGAACGTTTAAATAATATTGTTCAATTAACAGGATATTCTGATCCATTTTATATTGAGGCTATTGTTACTGTTACTCATTTTGATATTACATTAGATTGTCTTATTATGAATCAAACACCAAGTACATTACAAAATATTACTATTGAACTCATTCCACATGGAGGAATGACTGTAAAAACTAAACCATCACCAGTCACTCTTGGTCCTGGTGATTTTGTCCGTGTTAGTTTAGGAGTTAAAGTTGATGCTACTACTGTTGGAGTGATTAGTGGTTATGTTAATTATGATATTGCTGATAAGGGTGTTACATATAATGCATTAGATGCTAATTTAATATTAAATGAATTAAGAATTGAATACTTGGATCAAATGAGACCATGTGATGTAGATATTGAGGTATATCAAAAGAAATGG